AGAGTTTAGAAAGAAAGTATAGACAGGGGAACTTAATATATGATAAAGGTGGCTCACAAAGCATTAGAAAGACTATTTTTCAATGGTGATAGAAAAACGAATTCACTGTATGGAGGAAAAAAAAATCTGGATTTTCACTTGAAATTATGTTAAAGGTAGATTCCGATGAAAGACTTGAGTGTCAGAAATTTAAACTATAAAGCTAAAAAGGAAAAACTGTTACCTCTGGGTAAATAAAGACTTTCTAAACGAGATTCCAAATCATAAAGTCAAAATTTAGGGCATATGCTTAACTAACAATATCACATCACAGACAAAGTTAACAGGAAGGTGACAGACTGGGAGAAGGAACTGTGATGTTTAAAACAAACATGGAATGTCTAGAATATACACGTAATTTCTACCAACCAACAATAGAGGAAACCAAATAGAAAAACAGGCAAAGGATATAGGTACCTTAGTTTCACAGTGAGTTTCACATTGTATAGACTAAGAAGTCTATACAAAGTCATATATAAAAGGCATATTTATTTAAAAAAATTTTTTAAGTATTCATTTATTTATTTTAAAGATTTTATTTATTTATTTGACAGAGTTCACAAGTAGGCAGAGAGGCAGGCAGAGAGAGAGGAGGAAGCAGGCTCCCTGCCAAGCAGAGAGCCTGATACGGGGCTGGATCCCAGGACCCTGGAATCATGACCCGAGCCCAAGGCAGAGGCTTTAACCCACTGAGCCACCCAGACGCCCCTAAATTTTTTATTTTTTTATTAACATATAAGGTATTATTAGTCCCAGGGGTACAGATCTGTGAATCACCAGGTTTACACACTTCACAGCACTCACATAGCACACACCTTCCCCAACGTCCATAACCCCACCACCCTCTCCCTACCCCCTTCCCCTGGCAACCCTCAGTTTGTTGTTGCGAGATCGAGTCTCTTATGGTTTGTCTCCCTCTCGATCCCATCTTGTTTCATTTATTCTTTTCCTACCCCCCAAATCCCCCACGTTGCCTCTCAACTTCCTCATATCAGGGAGATCATATGATAATTGCCTTTCTCTGATTGACTTATTTCGCTCAGCACAATACCCTCTAGTTCCATCCACGTTGCCGCAAATGGCAAGATTTCATTTCTTTTGATGGCTGCATAGTATTCCATTGTATATATATACCACATCTTCTTTATCCATTCATCTGTTGATGGACATGTAGGTTCTTTCCATAGTTTGGCTATTGTGGACATTGCTGCTATGAACATTTGGGTGCACGTGCCTAAAAGGCATATTTAAAAAGGCTCGGATTTGATTATAACCGAGAAATGCAAATCGAAACAGCCAAGAGCTGCCACTTGATATCCTCCAAACTGGCACAGGTTATAAGGAGGACGTGGGTATGAGTTCTTAGGCACTGGTAATAGGAATGTGAAATAGCACAGCCCTTCTGAAAAGATACCTGGCAATGTTTGGCAGATCCAGCATGCCCACAGGTAGGTGGTTCAGAGGAATATTCCACCTCAATCTGTACATTTGCTTATTGTAGTACTTTTTATGGTAAAGAGAGTTGAGGGTAATCTAGGTTTCCATCCTCAAGGGACTGAATGGGTAAAAAACATGATGGAGGCAAAGTGGAGATGTGTCTGGCTTCCAGAGCAAGACAGTGGAAATTCAGGCTCCACCATTTACTAATTCTGACTTTGAACAACAGAAATAGAAAATTCGAGCAAGTTCTCTTTGTCTTCCTCTCATCAGTAAAATGGGAGTTAATAATATCTACCTCAGGGCTATTGGAAGAAGTATGTGAGTTAAAACATTTAAAGCACCTGCCAGAGTTAAGCACTACTCGAGTATTAATATTCCTGTTAGTATGAAAGCACATGTACGTTAGAAGTTATGAGGTAGGTTTTTTTTTTAAGATTTTATTTATTAACTTGACAGAGACAGTGAGAGAGGGAACACAAAATGGGGAGTGGGAGAGGGAGAAGCACGCTCCCTGCCAAGCAGGGAGCCCAATGCGGGGCTCCATGTGAGGCTTGATGCAGGGCTCGATCCCAGGACCCTGAGACCATGACCTGACCCGAGCCGAAGGGACACGCTTAACGACTGAGCCACCTAGGCACCCCGAGGTAGGTTTATATATGGCAACAAGAGCATATCACAAAAGCAATGTTAATTTTTTAAAAAAATTATTGAAATTTTTTTTTGAAATTTTTTTGAAATTTTTTGAAATTGAAATTTTTTTGAAAAAAAAACTTGAAATAAAAAAAGAGGCAACATGTATAGCACAGTGTCATTTGTGTGAAGTAAATATGTGCATATAACTCTACATATTACCAGGCAGACAACAGAGACATTCATTAAACATATCAAAATGGGAGGAAAGTGGGAGTGAGAGTAGAGTTTAGGAATAAAGGGGAAGAGTACAAAACAAGAAGGGGCCTTGCCTGCATCATTATGCTAATATGCCTGTGAAGAAAGGAACAGGATTTACCCATTTATGCAATCCGCAACTGAGGGGGTGGGGGAAGCTATCTTGAAAACATTCAGGGGGCGCCTGGGTGGCTCAGTGGGTTAAAGCCTCTGCTTTCGGCTCAGGTCATGATCCCAGCAGGGTCCTGGGATCAAGCCCCGAGTGGGGCTCTCTGCCCTGCAGGGAGCCTGCTTCCTCCCCCTCTCTCTCTGCCTGCCTCTCTGCCTACTTGTGATTTCTCTCTCTCTGTCAAATAAATAAAATCTTAAAAAAAAAAAAACATAAAATAAAATCTTAAAAAAAAAAAAAAAACCAAAAAAAGGGTCCCAAAGCCAGAAAAAAAAACCACCCCCCAAATTGGAAGCCACCCCATTTTAGAATTTATCTTAATGTGAGATATTTTCCTCCTTACTTTTTAAGGGAGGTTGGGGTGGGTTTTTTTTTTTTGGGGGGGGGGGGGGTGGCTTTTCTGTTACTTGTAGCCCAAAGCATCCTAACAGAATACTCATATCATCTTTTAAGTAATGCCAAAAACAACTGATTTGTCCAATGTAGCTCAACAGGGGTGTGATGTAAGTGGATATCCCAGAAAAAAATGAAAATTCTGAATAACCTAAAATTTTTTAGCAAACCAAACTCTCTCCAGTGTATTAAAAACTCTGGAAGTATTAAAATGAGCTACAATCGATCCCACAAAGAACTGTTACTTAAAAAAAACAAAAAATATTGGGGCATCTGGGTGGCTCTGTTGGTTAAGTCTCTGACTTTGGTTCAGGTCATGATCTTGGGGCTCTGGGATTGAGCCCCCCTATTAGGCTCCCTGCTCAGTGGGGGGTCTGCTTCTCCCTCTCCCTCTGTCCCTCCCTCTAGCTCATGCACTCTCTCAAAAAAAAAAAAAAAAAAAAATTTAAAAAAAGAAAAAGAAAACTTGAGCACCTAGCTGGCTCAGTCGGTAGAGTGCACGGCTCTTGATCTTGGGGTCATGAGTCAAGCCCCACATTAAGCACAGAGCTTACATTAAAAAAAAAAAAAAAAAAAGAAAATTCAAACTAGTTACCATTTATCATCAAATGGGAAAAACAAGTTTTCATAGTCATACCCAGTTTTGGCAACATTTTTGGGAACCTCATTTACAGCTGGTGGGAGTGAAAACTGGGACATCTCTGGAAGGCATTTGGCAATGCATGGCAGAAGTCTTAAAATAGCGCTTACTGTTTGACTCAGCAGTTCCCTAGAACTTATCCTAAAGAATAGTCATAGATGTGAACAATGATTTTATTAAAAGCACTAGCATTACAGGATTTTCTTTTTTTTTTTTAAGATTTTATCCATTGATCTTAAGAGAGTGAGTGTGGCAGCAGGGGGAGGGGCAGAGGGAGAGAGATAATCTTAAGCAGATTCTGCCCCCAGCATGAAGGCCGCATGGGGCTCAGTCCCATGATCCCAAGATCACCACCTGAGCTGAAACCGAGTCACATGCTCAATACACTGAGCCACCCAGGCACCCCTAGAGGATGTTTTTAAAAGCCAAAAATTAGGAACAAACTAAAAATTCCAAAGTACGGGAATCAATTAAGTTATGGAAAATCCACATGATGGGATACACATAGCAATTATAATTATCAATATTTACATACCATCTCTGCTAATTAGTATCTGTATAGCCCAGGAAAAGCTAATTAATCTCTGCCTCAATTCCCTATTTTAATGGGGTTTTTGTTTTTACAGAAGAGCACTATAGCTTAATGTCCTGAAAAGGTGATTAAACAAACAAAACAAACAAACAAACAAAAAGAGAAGGGTATAAACTTGTATATAAAGAATATTTTATAAAATAAATATATCTTGGGGCACCTGGGTGGCTCAGTCGTTAAGTGTCTGCCTTCGGCTCAGGTCATGATCTCAGGGTCCTGGGTTTGAGCCCCGCATCAGGCTCCCTGCATGGCGGGAAGCCTGCTTTCTCCCTCTCCCACTCCCCCTGCTTGTGTTCCCTCTCTCGGTACCTCTCTCTCTGTCAAATAAATAAAATCTTAAAAAAATCAATCAATCGGTCAATCAATCTCATATATATAAATCTATAAAATAAAGATTAAAAGGACATATAACAGAATAAAGATAGTATAACTTTTTGAATTATAGGATTACAGGTTTTCTTATTTTTGTCTGTATTTAAAAATTTTTTGGAGCACCTGGGTGGCTCAGCTGTTAAGCGTCTGCCTTCGGCTCAGGTCGTGATCTCAGCGTCCTGGGATCGAGTCCCATATCAGGCTCCTTGCTCGGTGGGGAGCCTATTTCTCCCTCTCCCACTCTCCCTGCCTGTGTTCCCTCTCTTGCTGTGTCTCTCTGTCGAATAAATAAATAAAATCTTAAAAAAAAATTTTTTTTTTAGTGAACGTGATACTTTGGTTAAAGGTAAAAACTATCAACCTCTATCAGAATTAAAACTAAAAACTGTCATTTTTTTTTGGTTGTTCCAGCTGGTAGTGAATCCATCCCAAATTAGCAGGGTGATAAAGAATTGGAATCACAGATGTTTCTCTTTATAGCTTTTATTACCACACAGTACAAGCTCGCAGTCTTATACACAAATAGCAAAACAAGTAAAAGATTTTCCTTTCTAAAAGCTAATTTATTCCAGTTTCCCTTCCTTATACAGAAGGACTGGATAAAGTCTTGTTATCCTAAGTCTTTCATTTGGAAAGGCTGTCACAGAGGTGAACTTGCGACATAAGGAAAACTGTACAGAACCAACGAAGTCCTTATTGTCCTCCTTTCTGGGGGAAGAATGCCCGGCTGGCAGTGGTGAAATGGAGCCTTTAAAACATCTTCTTTTTTGTAACAGGTGAGGTCAGGCCCCAGTGGCAGAGAGACTGTCTTAGTCACATGAGCCTCTTGGGGTCTATTTTCTCTAGGTGAACCAGAGGTTTCAGCTGCTCGGCAAAGTTCCTCATGTCATCAGAGACCATGTCCTGACCAGCTGGGGCAACAACACTTAGTTCCACAAGATAGGAAAGTGACAAGGCCTCGGTGCTGTCTGTGTTTCCTGGCACCAGGATGCGGAAGATCTTGTACACCATAATCTTCATGATACCCTTACGGAACAAGTGACCCTTGGCGACAAACTCATGGTCCATACGGAAGCCCATTTCCATCAAGAAGTCAGTGAGGTTCTCAGATGTTGCAATGTCTACACAATTGCGCACCAGGGCATGGCGGTTCTTGTCTCCCATTTCTGGCTGTCCCAGGTAGCGCAGATGCCAGGGTGCTCCTCCCCTATCCATAGAACGCCGGGCCCTGAGAACAAATGGACTAGCCTGCTGGCCCTTAAGGAGGAATACCATCTCATGGTCAAGGAAAGTCTCGGGTTCCATATTGTCGCATAAACCACGAAGGCGGTGGATAAGGCTTTCCAAACTGTGATCTAGAACGCTTCCTGAAGAAGGAAAGAGTATGGTTGAGTCCCATCTTTCATTTTGGGTACTGGGATTAGCAAAAGATTGAAAAAACTTAAATGAAAAACCTCAATGGTTTAGTGCAATGTTTGTAAAGCATAGGTCCAATATATGAGATTTCAGAGGGGTTATGCTGCCATGGCAGCATATGAGAAGGTTTATGAAAAAGTTAACCCTCTTTAAGTTTTTTGCATTATCTTAGTTGGTACAGGAAAGCCTTTAGGCCTTCCCTAAAACGCTAATCGCCAGTGGGCTTTGGGCTCAGAGGCCTGAACAACAGTATCTATCTAGAATAATAATAACACTCCTGTCATTTACTTGAAAAGTTATCTTCTATTTCTAGCAGCACAAGTTTTCTATCTATATTATAACATTTCCTTTTTATGTAACATATTTAAATACAAAGGAATGAAATGCTCCATAGAAATACACTGATCTTTGCTCTCATCTTGTTCATCTTCCTAGCGGCATCTGACATAGTTGTCAGATTATACCCACCTTGAAATCTACTCTTCCCTTGGCCTCTGGGACACAACTCTTCCCTTAGTTCTTTTTGCCTAACTCATTGACCATTCCTTTTAAGTTTACTTCGGTGGGTCTTTCTCATCTTCCCTAAACACTGGAGGATCCTAGGACTCAATCCTGGTCCTCTTTATCAACAATCTCTTCCTTCCAAAGCGACCTAATTTGGTGCTATGGCTTCAAATATCATTTATGCCCTGAGGACTCCTGTATTTATCTCATGAGCTATAGACTCATATATCCAACTGTCTCATTTATCTTCGTGTGTTCATATCCGATTGCTGGCTTTTCCTCCACAATCTTACTCCTGCAGTCTTCTCCATTACAGTAAATGCAAACTCTGTGCTTCCAGTGGCCCAGGCTCCAAACCACAGAATCATCCTGACTCCTTTCTTTCCCCCATATCCTACATCCAATCCGTAATTTTTAAAAAAAATATGTACAGAATCCAACCATGTTTCACTTCCTCATTTATTTCCATCTAGTCCAAGTTTCCCTCATTTCTTATCTGGTTTTTGCAACAGCCTGCTTCTACCCTCGCCTGCTCCTTCTCTTCTATACACAACAGCCAAGAGGTCTTTTTGAATATAAGGCAGATAAGAACAGTCCTCTGCTTAGGACCCTCCAATGGCTTCCCGTGTCATTCAGAATAAATCCTAAAGTCTTTACGATCATCTACAAGGTCCTATACGTTGTGGACTCTGCTACCAGTCCAACATCATTTCCTTCAACAATTTCCCTAGATCACTCTCTCCAGCTACAGTGATCTTCCTATTATTTCCTGAAAATGCCAACTACTTAATAAAGTATTTCTCTTCAGAGTCTCTTTCCATAGTCCCTACACTTAGAAAATTTTTCTCACCGGTAGCTGCATGCCTCGCCCCATCATTTCCTTCAGGTCTTTGCTCAAGTGTCACTTTATCAGAGAGGTCTTTTCAGATCACCCTGAACAAGATAACACACGTCTCTCCAATCTCTTTCCACCTCCCTGCTTTAGTTTTCTTTAGCATTATCACCTCAATTCTTTAGTCATCTTTCAATATATCAGTTGTATACTGATACTTTATTCATCTTTCTCCCTCCACTGATGATACTCCAATGCTAGTAACGTATTCAAATATTTATTGACTAAATCTGTTAAAATAAATAAGACTATATATTGTTACTATGGTAAATATTGATAGTGAGATTCAAAGGACTGAATTTTTGAAAATGGGGAGTGTTGTAGGAAAAGCAACAGATCAGATCCCAGTAATCACAGGACAGAAGATCATGGGAGCAGGGAACAAGTCCTACATTCAATACATTGTACCCTACATTCAGGACAGTATCAGAGATGTGTTTGTTCATTCCTCAAACATCTTTTCTTAAATATTTTATTTATTTACTGGACAGAGAGAGAGCGAGAGAGAGCATGCAAAACCAGAGGGAGTGGCAGCCAGAGGGAGAGGAGAAGCAGGCTGCCTTCTCAGCAGGAAACCCAGTGGGGCTCGATTCCAGGACCATGACCTGAGCCAAATACAGATGCTTAATGGACTGAGCCACCCAGAAGACCCCATTCCTCAAACATTTGTCAGTGTTGGTTCATTCAACCTATACTTCTTGAATGCTATTCTAGGCACTATGCTAAGAAGTAGGGGTCCATGCCCTAAGGGAGATTACAACTTAGTAGGGTAAACAAAAAATAAATAAGTAAGCAAACTGTAATACAAGGAAATAAAAGGAAGATGGGATAGAGAGCAACTGGTGGGGATGGAGAAGAGAAGACCTTTCTGAGGGGCTGGAGTCAAAGAAGGTCTCCCTAAGGGGATGCAACTGGGCTGAAAACTGAAGAATGAAAATGAGACGGTTCTGTGAAGAGCTGGATAAAGTACTGGGCCAGGGGGATCTTCAAGGGCTAAGGCACAGAGGTAGGAAAGGGCTTGGGCAATTAAAGAAAATGGAAAGGTATCAGTGTTTGTGCGTGAAGTGCTCTGAGTGAGAAGGAAGATAGAACCAAGTGAGGATTTGCCTGGGCCACAGCAGTGCAGGCCTGACATACAGTTCGTGGTGAAGGTGGTACTCTACCCAAAGGTCACTGGGCAACTATGTACTCCGCACTTTATTGTCAACAAAACAGGGAAAGACATGACTGCATTTACATTTTCAGAGGCTCATTCCAGGAACACTGGATGGACTCTTCAAGACACAGTCATGAGGCAAAAAAGTGTAGCTGAGGGGAGACTGGTCCAAATGAAGAGAGACTTTAAGAGAAACAATTATCGAATGTAATGCATGATACTTGATTGCATCCTGTTTAAAAAATACATTCTGGGCACAGTTGGGGAGAAACTTTTTAATATGGATTAGATGTTAGGTGATATTAAAATATATTATTAATTTTCTTAAGATAATAATGATGGTATTAAGGTTATGAAGAAAAATATCCTTGTTTTTTAGATAGGCTTACTGAAGAGTTTAGGAATAAAATGTTATGAGTCAGAAATTTTCTTTTCTTTTTAAGATTTTATTTATTTACTTGTGAGAGAGAGAGAGAATGAGAGGGGAGAGGTCAGAGGGAGAAGAAGAATCCCCGCTAAGCAGGGAGCCCAATGCAGGGTTTGATCCTGGAACTCCAGAATCACGACCTGAACCGAAGGCAGTCGCTCAACCAACTGAGCCACCCAGGTGCCCGCAGAAATTTTCTTTAAGAACAGCAAAAGAGGGGAATGTGGCTGGCTCAGTCAGTGGAGCATGTGACTCTTGATATCAGACTTGTAAGTCTGAGCCCAAGGTTGGGTGTAGAGATTACTTAAACATACAGTCTTGGGATGCCTGGGTGGCTCAGCTGGTTAAGCCACTGCTTTCAGCTCCGGTCATGATCCCAGGATCCTGGGATCGAGTCCCGAATCAGGCTCCTTGCTCAGCCAGGAGCCTGTTTCTCTCGTTGCCTCTGCCTGCCACTCTGCCTGTCTGTGTGTACTCTCTCTCTGACAAATAAACGAATAAATAAAATCTTAAAAACAAAAACAAAAACAAAAACAAAAACCATACAGTCTTAAGGGGTGCCTAAGTGGCTCAGGCAGTTAAGCGTCCGATTCTTGATTTCGGCTCAAGTTATGATCGCAGGGTTCTGAGATCAAGTCCTGTTTCAGGCTCTGTGCTGGGAGTGGAGCCTGCTTAAGATTCTCTCTCTCGGGGCAACTGGGTGGCTCAGTGGGTTAAGCCTCTGCCTTAGGATCAGGTCATGATCCCAGGGTTCTGGGATAGAGCCCCGCATCAGGCTCTCTGGTCAGCAGGGAGCCTGCTTCCCTTCCTCTCTCTCTCTGCCTGCCTCTCTGCCTACCTGTGATCTCTCTCTGTCAAATAAATAAATAAAATCTTAAAAAAAAAATTCTCTCTCTCCCTCTCCCTCCACCAACTTCCCGCCCCTCCCTCTCTTAAAAAAAAAAAACTTAAAAAAACAGTGAAAGAAAAAAGATGAAGCAAATATGGCAAAATGATACAAACTGAAATCTAGAGGAAAGAAATGGACTGTTCACTATATTAGTTTGAATTTTTAAATAATAAAACAATTATTTAAAAAGATGACTACCTGGGACGCCTGGTAGGTCCCCTACAGCAGGTACTCCATAGTGTTAATGATGTCTCCAGTGACAGGCATCATGGTGATCAGAGGTGCCTCCACGCTGTCTGATTAAGTTGAAGACAACAGAACTGGTTTAGGAGTCTCCAGTCAGGTAAAGCACAAGAAACACCTGGAGAAGTGTTACATTGTTACCAGGCTCAGTTGGTGGAGCATGTAACTCCTCCCCACTTTTTTTTTTTTTCTAAGATTTATTTGAGAGAGCACACATGGAGAGGGGCAGGGGGAGAGGGAGAGAATCAGACTCTCCACTGAGCGCAGAGCCTGACATGAGGCTTGATCCCAAGACCCTGAGATCAGGACCCGAGCCAAAATCAGCAGTGAGACACTCAACAAACTGAACCACCCAGGCACCCCTAGAATGCAACTCTTGATCTGCGCATCCTGAGTTCAAGCCCCATGTTGGGGGCACAAAGTTTACTTTAAAAAAATAATAATAATAAATAAAAAATAAAAAGATGACTACCTGTTGGTGTGGGAAGAGACAGAGATAATCAGAAGTAGAAACAATGTAATAAGTAAAGGTTACTAAAATAGTTCAAGTCCCAGATGATAAACCAGTGTAGGACATTGCCGGTGGAGAAAATGCTTATTTAAAATATATGTTGAGGGGCACCTGGGTGGCTCAGTCAGTTAAGCGTCTACCTTCGGCTCAGGTCATGATCACAGGGTCCTGGGATCAAGCCCTGCATCGAGCTTCCTGCTCAGTGGGGAGTCTGCCCCTCTCTCTCCCTCTGCTGCTTTGCCTGCTGTGCTTTCTCACTCTCTCTGTCAAATAAATAAATAAAATCTTAAAAAAATATATATGTTGGGGGCACCTGGGTGGCTCAGTGGGTTAAAGCCTCTGCCTTCGGCTCAGGTCATGATCCCAGGGTCCTGGGATTGGGCTCTCTGCTCAGTGGGGAGCCTGCTTCCTCCTCTCTCTCTCTGCCTGCCTTTCTGCCTACTTGTGATCTGTCAAATAAATAAATAAAAATCTTAAAAAAATATATATATATATGTTGGAAGTAAAATAAATATGACGACTTAGAGATAGACTGACTAGATGTGGGGGTAAAGTGAAAAGCAGAGATTGACTCCTAAATGCTTGGTTCGTGCAACTGGTGAATGACAGTGGCACTTACTGGGTTGGGAAAGACTGAAGAAGAGGTAGCTTAAGAAGTGAAAATTAATAACCTAATGTTGTTCATATTAAGTTACCAAATGGATGATCTGAATTAAAGTCTAAACTCTTGCACAAAACATTATCTGACTTCCTGAAAATCACTACTCTCTCTGGATCTTGAGTTCTCCTATCTGGGCAAGTTATTTTACCTGTTGTTGTTTTTTTTTTAATTTAGATTCTTTTTATTTTATTTTAAAGATTTTATTTGAGAGTAAGAGACAGAGAGAATATGAGTGAGGGGTGAGAGGGAGAAGCAGAGAACTGAGTGGGAACCCAATGTGGGGTTTGATTTCAGGACCCTGAGATCACAGCCTGAGCTGAAGGCAGATGTTCAAGGACCGAGCCACCCAGGCACCTCTCAAAGCAGGATCTTGAAGAGATATTTGCACCCCCATGTTTGCTGCAGCAATATTCATGATAACCAAGAGGTGAAAGCAACCCAAATGACAGATGAATAAAGAAAATGTAGTATATCCACACGATGAAATGTCATTCAGCTTTAAAAAGGGGGATCCAGTCACATGCTACAGTAGGGATGAACCTTGAGGACATTATGCTAAGTAAAACCAGTCAGTCATAAAAAGATAAACACTGCATGAGTCCACTCATATGAAATATATAAAGTAGTCAAAATCAGAAACAAAAAAGAAAGGTGATTGCTAAGAGCTGAAGGGCAGGGGGGCAGTGAGGAGAAGGAGCAATTAGTATTCGAAGGGTATAGAGTTTCAGTTCTGCAAGATGAAAAAGTTCTAGAAATCAGTTATACAACGTGAATGTAATTAACGCTACTGAACTGTACACTTAATTTAATGTGTTTGTGTCTGTGACCATAATTAACGTTTAAATTCTTTTTAAAAAGTTGTTATCTATTGAGTGCCAGAAATCATGCAGGCTGCCTCTGTATAACAGCCTCTCATCCCCACAGATGATGAACAGAGAGAGGAAAACAGGTCATCCAAGTAGCCTGGCTCACTTACCCTGCAGCAGGTACTCCATCATATTAATAGTGCCTCCAGTGACAGGCATCATGGTGACCGGAGGTGCCTCCATGCTGTCTGATTAAGTTGAAGACAACAGAACTGGTTTCAGAGTCCCCAGTCAAGTAAAGCAGAAGAAACACCTGGAAAAGTGTTACACTGTTAATACATTAGAAGGGCAGAGAAACAACCGACCTGCTTATGGCACTGGCCTTGATATCAAAAGTTTCATTCATCCATTCAAACTGTTTCAGTAACTGCTATAGGCCAGTTTCAGGAACGGATACAGAAATATACAAAGGAGTCGTGGTCGTGGACTTAAAGCACAATCTTCTAGTCTCAATATCTGAAATCTCTAAAAGTTTTCTGTGCAATCTTGAGGAAGTCGTCAAACCTGGGACTCAATGTCCTCCTTATAAAAAGGGGCCAACGATATTTAACTCCCAGGACTTTGTGGCTCGGGCATGGAACAACATTCAGAACTAAGAGGTGACTTAAGAGACTTTGTCTACTCTTCCATCTATAGATGAAGACACTGGGACTCGGAGAGGGGCCCAAGGGCACACAGCAAGTCGGTGGCAGAGTTTGAATCAATCTAGAATCTAGGCGTTCCACCTCTCTGAAAATGACTTTCAAAGAGAGCGAGGCGGCACCATGAAGTTTTTTTTAAAAGAATGGTTTAGGTCCCCTTAAGCCAGCATCAAAGACGCGTACCCACTTACACTAGAAACACGCCTCCGAGCGCACTCTAGTCTCTTCTCGTAAAGTGGGTAATATATCCACCCCAGTATCTCGGAGATTTTAAACAATTAACCCCGAGTCCTAAAATTAAACCCCTCTGGAAAGTGCGACACCTCCTCCCCGTCTTTCCACTTCCGGCAAGAAACGGACGTCACGTAAATCTTGACCCGGGTGCCCTACGACGTAAGGGTGCCGAGAAGGGATAAAAATCTCCCTCTTTGCAGCCTCGCAAACAGAAGCGCATGCGCGAGATGTAATGCGAGGCTGTATGGAAGATGGCGGCCTCCTTTGAAGGGTCTCCTGGGATTTACGAGGGGGCTGGACGTCGTAGGCCGTCCTCTAGGAAAATACATTTTCAAGTTTGACGATCTGGAATGTTTTAGTCTAGGAAATCTCTTGAAATTGACAGGGGCAAAGGAAAGCCTGGGGAAGGGAGCAGTGGAAAACTGGGAAAAGAGAGGCTTACAAAACGGATTTTTTTTGTTGGGGTACCTGAGGGTGAAAAGACACCGTTTACTGCGAAGCGTAATGTTCTGAACAATTAGAGAGCTCAGCAATACACTTAATATTTGTTCACTTTACCGTATATGTTTTACTTAATTTGAAAATATAGAGAGATAAATCACTGTTTATTGAATGCCTGCTAATAATTTGTCAAGCATATAAGGTGCGGACAAAGTGAAGACTAAAGTGAAGTGAATGAGGTACTCTTCTGGAGTAAAAAAATTAAAGGGACACGAGAAACTCAGTGGCTAAGATAAACACTGTTTTAGTGCAGTATTTTACAAATTTAATGCAAAAAATGAACAATATGTCAATTTTAAATTTGATCCTCACAGCAGCCCTATGAGTCAAGTAGAATTATTACCCTAATTTTAACTGATGGGAAAACCCAGGCGAGTTGTTAAACAACATGCGAAGGAGAGGGGGGGCTCTAGTACCAATGTAAGCCATTGACTTCAGAACCCTCTGTCTTAATTACTGTACTGTACTGGGACTTCGAGCTCTAGTCCCTTTGCTGTAACCTTCCCTACCTCCCATTCATATTTTTAAAAATACTGAACATTTCTTGGAAGTCTATAGACTGTTCTAGACATTTTGTTAGCTGTTAGCTCCATCTCTACCCTCAAAAGGGTTTATAGGTAAGTTGTTGGAATCAGAAGTTTAAGCTGAGTCTACCATGTAATTTGATTCAATAGGAAAATGAGATATCAGGAACTCAACCCCTTTGGAAGCAAGCAGGACACTTGGTCCATCCTGGGGACATTAGTGAAGGATTCCTGGAAATGGTAATCAATGCCCACTTGAAGGATCAATAGATGTTAGATAAAGAAGGGAGAAAAGAGAAATTCAGGTGAAGGGAACCGCATGTTCAAAAGGATACGGAGTTAAATAGAATTAGGGTATAGAATCTGATGTTAGGGGCTGAAATATTTAAATGAGTCTGGGGAAGGAGTAAGGATGAGACCCTGGAGGACTTTATGTGCTAGACTTAAAGAACATCTGTGAGTTTTAAAAAGATCACTCTGGCTGCAAGGTGGAGAAAAGCTTAAGAAAGGAGAACCTGGAGAAAGAAGACCAGTTTAGGAGCTTTGGCACAACTCCAGCTGAGAGATAATTATAGAACAAAAGACAGATTTTAAAAAATATAGAAGAGAATGATTTGATGACTAACCAGAGCTAAAGATAGGAGTCACAGGTGTCTAGATGTCTACCTGGGGTGGACATGGTAGTGCCTTTTTTTTTTTTTTCCTGAGCTAGGAAACACAAAGCAGTGTGGGTGAGGCAGGAAAGATGAGTTCATATGCAGATATATTGAGCATGAGGTGTCTATGAAACACCCAGGTGCTGGTGCCCAGACAGAGTTCAAAGGAGAGAGAGAACTGAGCTGAAGGCAGCCCTTTCAGAGTCAGAGCCTCACAGATGGTAGCTAAAGACATGAGAATAAATGAGATCACCCTGAAAGAGTGTGTAGAACCTTGCACAGGACTCTGATAGTTATTAAGGCCACATATACCCCAGGGCTTAAGATGTGCCCCCAGATCAGTCTGGTGATTCACAGTGTTGGGCAGAACAACAAGCTCTCAGTGTATGATGATTGGAGGAGGTTGTAAAATTGATGTTCCTCTTTTTTCCTATACAGACACTAACTTCAGAATGGATGTCCAGTGAATTATGGGTCTTTTGAGGCAACACGGTATTTATTCAAATTTTAGCTGATATTTCAAAGTAGAGTTAAATTAAAAAAAAAAAGATGGATTGGAAATGGGTGAACAAAATGTAAAACTTGGACAAAGCCTAGGAGTTATAGGCATGGATTTTTCTGATAAGGATGTCATGACTAGGGGTGCCTGGGTGGCTCAGTGAGTTAGGCCTCTGCCTTCAGCTCGGGTCATGATCCCAGGGTCCTGGGATCGAGCCCCGAGTTGGGCTCTCTGCTCATTGGGGACCCTGCTTCCCCCCCCCCAACCTGCTGCTCTGCCTACTTGTGATCTCTGTCAGTCAAATAAATAAATAAAATCTTTAAAAAAAAAAAAAGGATGTCATGACTAGACCCCAGAATGGGACTCACTTCTGTCCTCTGCCACTCTCCAGCTGTGCAGCCTTGGGCAACTCATTTCCTCTCTCTGGCCCTCAGCTTCCTTTTTGGTGAAACAGAGATAAAAATAGTACTTTTTAAGGTGGAATTTATAAAAATAGAATGAGATGTTTATGAAACACTGGGCATAGTGCCTGACTTATTGTAAGCAAGCAATAAATGGTAGCTATTATTGGTATTATATCTTGTATCTCATTTGTGCAAGCACATTCTGTCTTATTGGATATATTTGTGTATGCCTAATCTCCCTAGTACAAACTGTAAACATCCTGAAAGGAAGAATCATTATTTTCTGTACATATGTGCGTCTTAGGTTGGGCTGCTATAACAAAATGCCATTTACTGGGTGGTGTATAAACAACAGAAATTTATTTTTCATAGTTCTGGAGTCTGGAAGTATGACATTAGGGTACCAGCATGGTTGGGTTCTGGTGAGAGCCCACTTCTGGGTTGCCAGTTGATGACTTCTTGTATCCTTATGCGGTGAAGAGCAAAGCAAAGGAAACTTCTCAGGACCTTTATAAGAACACCAATTCCATTCATGAGGGCATTTCCATCATGACCTCCTCTAATACTAAGTATTCTTAGTACTATTTCCAAAGGCCCCTACTCCTAGTACTACTATCACAATAGAGGATAGGGTTTCAACATATGAATTGGGGGGGGCACAAGCATAATGATGTACTTTATATGTAGTAGGTTTTCAAAAATTTTGTTGAACACATCACAATAGCTACTGATTATTGAACTATTTCTCTACACAACAACTTGACACTATATGTGTGTAGATATGCCAAATACTGCTAAAATATAGATATCACCATCTCCACATTACAGAGGAGAAAAGGAAGTTCAGAGAGGTAATGTGATTGGCCCAAAGCCAAATGCCAGCAAATGGTAGAACTCATATTCAAATTCAGTTCTTTCTGACACCAAGCACGTCTTTCTATCATGCTTCCTTCTGAATTCCTGGGCTTTTTCTCTACAGTGAGTTTCCCTAATATGTACAGTTAGTGGTCTCAGAGGAGGAGGAAAGTTCATACATTAATGCTTCCCAGACAGTCATTAGGCCGGACTCAAAGGATGAGGACCAGTTCTTGAGTAGTCTTCATCAGGACAGTAGACAATCAATGTGAATTGCAAGCACACGTACCCATACAGAATTCCTTTATCAGCTCTCTAGAGTGGCCTGATGGGAATTAAGGTAGATCTACGCCACCATTATATGCAATGCTAGGCCTTCAATCTTAGTGTTATAAACTAATATTTGCCCAGGAGCATCCTAACGTTTATTGGCTGCTTCCTATATGCATAGCCCTTTGGAAAAGCTGGAACCGTTGCTTTTCAACCTAATTAACTCCAACATCCTCATCAGTTCATGTCGCTCCTTCACTCCGAGTAAAATCCAAAGTCCTCCTATGCCTCCATGATCTGCCCCATCACCTGTTATCTCTTCGACCATATTCCAACCATCCCCATCTGTGCCTGCCCCTCATACCCACTCAGCTCTAGCCACGTTCTTCTGGCTTTTACTTGAACGTGTCAAGGATACTCCCATCTTAAGTCTTTTGCAATTGTTGCGCAGTCTGCCCCCCATTTCCTGCTGAATTTTTCTCCATTGCACATTTGACTAGGTGACATACTGCCTGCTTACCGATTTATGTCCCCCACCCCACCCTGTTAAAATCATAAGCTCCACAAAAGCAGGGGCCTTGTTTTATTTGCTGCAGTATCCCCAGCTATGGGAATAATGCCTGGCACTGCACAGGCTCTTGATAAATACTGTTTTTGTTGACAGAATGAATAGTAGAGAAGTAGAGAACAGAGGTTAGCCGAGAGATTATTAAATGATTTTCTTGGTCTCCTATATTTAGTCGGCACTGGATTTGGGATTGGGAAACCAAAATCCTTAAATTCCAGGCTGCGGAATTGTTGTCCAGTGTCCAGCCACAACCACATTTGGTTCTTAACCACTTGAAATCTAGCTAGTTCGAATGGAGACAGGCTGTACGTGTAAGATACACACTGGGTTGTGATGACTTTCTATGAAAAAAATGTTCAATATCACAATATTTTTTAATCTTTTTATCACAGTATTTTTTTTATTGATTACATGTTGTAATGATATTTTGGGTATTTAGGATTTGATATAATATGTTATTGAATTTAATTTCCACCTGTTTTGGGGCACCTGAGTGGCTCAGTCAATTAAGCATCTGACTTCGGCTCGGGTCGTGATCTCAGGGTCCTGGGATCAAGCCCCTCATTGGGCTCCTTGCTCAGCAGGGAGTCTGCTTCTCCCTCTCCCTCCACCTCTCTCCCTGCTTGTGCTCTCTCACTCTCTCTGTCAAATAAATAAAATCTTTTTAAAAATTCCACTTGTTTTTTATTCTAAAAATGTGACTACTAGACTAATTTACATTATATATATGGCTAAAGTTATATTTCAATTGGACCGCACTGTTGTAGGATCTAGATTTGAAAGTGTGGCTTCAGAGCCAGACAGATCTAGACCTGAAACCTGGATATTGCTTATGTGG